CTGAAGCGTATGTAACCTGAAGCGTATGTAACCTGAGGTAAAACTGTAATAATAATAATACTTGAAGAAGGAACTTGCTGAGGGCCTGAAGACTGAGAAGTAAGCAGGGCTCCATGTCTGCATTACTTAAATGAAGTTGTTCATGCATTTCCTATGTTTCTGGTAATGTGCAAGTGTCTACCTTACAGTCTTCACTCTCAGAGAAGCATTGTAGGCATCACTACCTGACACATTTTAAGGAGCTCTGCATGAGGCTGCCCTTGAAGATGTTTTGGAAGCTGTAGCTGCCACTAGGGTGCTAGTGAGCAACACCGGCTGGGCACATGTTACATCAATTCTTAATGACCTGCACCAGTTGCTGGTGTGCTTCCAAGCCCAGTTCAATGTGCTTCCCAGAATACACACCTGTTTCAGGTTCTGTTAGCACAATTGTCAGATTGCTTGTGACACTTCCAGGGAGATTTTGACAGTGGTTTCCGCCCCCCCTTCCCTCCCCACCCATGTTCGACTTGAGCAGTAAAGGATGTTTGGCAGCTTGACTTGATTTGAAGTTTAGGGAATAAAAATTTAGCTCTTTCTTACGAAGTGTTCCTGACTGCAGGTAAAGAATACAATCCTCTCTCCAGTTATATAAAGGAGAGATCATTAAAAGCTGGCAGCATCTGCAGTAAAGCAACTCACAGTTTCTTTCTGAACAGAAACTTTAGACTCTGGACTTTGAGGTCTTACAGGAATTGGGGTGTTCTTTAGACGGAAGTACATATTACTTCAATTGCTTTAAAATGTGATAAGCCAGTCTTGCTGTGTTGAGGTGAAGCCCTGGACTTCTGACCCAGAGTCTTACCCTAATGGCAATACTTAATGCGCCTCTAAATTGTTTCTATTTCTCCAGCCTTGTAAAAACTCTTAAGAGGCCTGTAAGCTCATGTGAGTTTCTGTTTTAATGGAATTCATTCTGTTTTATTTATTCATTCATTCATTCATTCATGGCACATATACCCACCATTTAGCGGAAGGACCATAAGTCAGTGGGAGAGAATCTGTTTTGCATGCAGAAGTCCCCAGGTTCAATCCCTGCCACCTTCAAATGCAGCAAGGACTATCCCCTAGCTGAAGACATGGCTAGTTGCTGCCAGTCAGTGTAAACAATATTGAGCTGGGTGGACCAGTAGTTTGATTCGGTATAAGGCAGCTTCCTATGTTCCCATGTTCCTATTCCCCGCCCCCCAAGTCTCTCAGAACAGCTTGCAAAAATCATTACAAAGACTGGCCCAAGGCTCACAATCCAACATGGCACATGAGGGGGAAAAGAATGGGAAGGAGGAGGGGAAAGCAAGCTAAATAAGCAAGTTGTAGCTCTTATAGTACAGTTATTGCCCTTGATAAAAATCTCCCTGCTCCCCTCCCCACCAGCACTCTTCCCAGGAACAGAGCAGGCGGCAATGCCCAGGCCAGGAGAACAGGGCACCTCCTGCCCCACAGTTCTTCTCTCCCACAGCTGACTTGATGGTAGTTCCAACCCTCACGGGAGGGTTATTAGGATGGGACAGCAATTTTATTTCTTTGCTGACTCCTCCTTCCCGCTGCAGCTTCCCCAGAGAATGCAGCGGATCCTCTGGAGCCATGTGAGGGGTAGTGCTGGGGACTGCATGCGAAGTGGGGATCAGCAACGACTGCCACCCCTTACCACTTCTCCCTCAGAGAGTCTCCACTGCATCAGTTCTTTCAGAGAATGGGAGGAGCTGTTTGTGAAGGGCCAAGCTGGTATGCCACACACCACACTTTCTTTTGTCTGCTGCCTTGCTGCCCTGAAAATGCTGACTTGGCCCGGAAGGTGTGAGGGTTGTAGCGATACATAATAAATAAATAGATTTCCATCAAGATCATGAATTTAAATGTTGCAATCATGTTGGGAGTTTTCCAAGCGTGTCCTCATTATGGTATGAATATTTCTGTCGCCAGTTGAAACTTCAACTCCAGGCAAATATATCATTAGTGTCAGATAATTTTGGTCACTCAGTATTACCGGCGAAGAAAAAAGCAAGATGGTTTTTTATGCATATTTAACATCTGACTTTTTTTTTTAAAAAAAAATGTATCTGATTAGGGTACCACACTTGAAAAATGTTTTCAGGGAAAGAATGGCAAAATGTTTAATCAAACATGTCTTCAGCCGTGGATTAAGAAGTTATGTTTTCACCCATCAACTTGGCCTGACAAGTAATACAGCAGGATGGCGATAAAAATCAATTACTCAAGTGATATTTATGGCTACTGAATAATACATCTATTATTATTCATTCTCATTCCCACGCAGTCACAAAGAAAATATGGAGTCTGAGAGACAGCTATTAAAATACATTTCCTGCGCAAGAGACCAAAATGATAGGAAGAGTAATGTTTGCTGTCTTAGATTATTTAGAAGGGGAAAGTGTTCCTAAATAGTGTATTACTTTTAAACAATTGTTATTTCCCCCTGTTTTGATATTTTGTTTAACTAGATAAATAGATCACAAAGATCTGTTTTCATCTGGTTCAACTCTTACTGCAAGCTGTTCAATCTCCATTTCTGTTCAGGTTTAGTGAGCTATAAAAATGCCTACCTGTCACACACACAAATAATAAAAATGCAACCAACAAGTTTCTTCCTAATTAAACCATGAAGGATGCCAACTTGCTTTTTTGCTTTTTAATGAATCAGACAGTGGCATCAAGAGAATGGAAAAATTGGTGAAGAAATACATATGAAACCTGGTTTCTGAGGGTGTTGTATTCTTATTTAGTTTGCTAATAAATGTCTCAAGCATACAGACAAGTTTTGAGTAGGTCTGAACTACTCAATTAGGCACTCAAATGCTGACACAGAAGCATTTCAGTCAGAAGAACCTTGTGAAATGCCATTCCCTGTGAATCCCAAAACCTCCCCCACCCAAAAACTAAGTCTGAGAAGGGATGGGTGATGAAATGAAGCAAGGAAGGTGGGGGACAGTGGAAGAATGGCTACCAGAAAGCTGTCACAGTTCAGTCTTTCTGACATTTTATAGAATTGTTGGGGAAAACCTAAGCATTGAAAATGCATGGATAACCAGGCCCACTCTGAATCAAGATGGATGGGTTTGCCATCTCTACTTAGTGAAGGTGCCAAATTCCATGATAGGTGAGTGTCAGAACACTAATTTACATGTATTGGTCCCTTTCAGCCCATTCAAAATTGTTCCCAAATTTCTTCCAAGGTTTTCGCCCTGTTCACACTGAACTTGCTGCATTGCTAGTCCTTCCCTTTCCTGCCATTGCCATGTCCCACACAAACATCCTGGAGGGAATAGGAGTGATGCATCCTCTATGCAGACCTAATGATGTCACTGAACTTTGTAATTATTGGCTCTAGATATGAGTTTGCTCTTGAAGTACAAATCAAAATGTTAGCAGCAGGTAACTGGAAGGACAACAGAGCCAAAGTTTAAAATGGGCTCAGAAATGAAATGACTTCTGGGAGGAAGTAAGTAGTGTAAGTATATAACTGTACCCAATCACATTCCAAATCGAGTTGCAGGAGGGAATTTGCCCATCACTGCTTAAAACAATATAGTTGAACATCTGAAGAAGAAAAATAATGCATAGCAAGGCTCTAAGCATGATTTATTCTGGTTTCTAATTTCCATACAATGTCCCATAAGGAACTTGTGTGTTCCTACTAAAAAAACTTCTCAGCCACAGTCTAGTGAAATTATCCAGGGGAGTTGTGTACACTTCTAAATTATCAGTGCATTATCATCCCTATGTGGAATACATGAAGGGAAGCCAACTAAGTCATGCACAGTCTTATCTACTCTGGATATGACTTAGCTGGATACAAGCCAAAGAGAGTACCAATTTTTGCCAAGGAGGGTTTTTCACATGTTTAGAAACTGGAGCCAGAGCACACTTATCTTCTTCCTCTGCTGCATATTCCTGCTATTAGTCTGCTACTGTCTACAGTACCTCCCAAAGCCCACCAGTTCTAACAGTGTTGCTGCAGTAGCTTAAGTTTTTTTGACCTGCCACTGCCATTTTAAGTGTAAGGATGAGAATGTTTTTGGTGTTCTAGTGGGATAGTGAATTTCAAACTGCAAACAGGTTCAAGGGATGAGAATCTGCCCAATCTAGGAGTTTTGAGCTCCATGCAAAACCTGAACTGTTGCCTGCTGACAGTCCCAGAAAGCTGAAAGCACAATATTTAAGAATTGAAATGCAAAGCCTTTGAACTCAGTTTATCACTCTCCCAGGGCTTTCAGTGCACACACATGCATACATATGCTTTGTGCCCTTCTGTTCTTCCACACTCTTTGATCAGTTCGTATTGAAGCAGTCTCTTGTTTAATACATAGGGGTTTGTTATGACCACAGCATGATCACATCAACCCGTAAGAGAGCAGAAATAACATGAAAGAATATAAAAGCCCGCACCTTGACCACATTAACAGCAATGTTTTTAAAAGGCAATAAATAACAAAGGTTTGTTTATGCTATTGGCCATCAGGACTAACCAAAGGGAAAGTATGGCTTTAAAGATTAAATAGGATCTGAAAATATTGGCTGTGGTAACCACTGATTGTCATTGCTCCCTTTTATATTTCCAGTTTCTGCATATTTAAGCTAGATCTGTGTTCCCTATAAAACAGTGGACTCTTTTATATAGAAAAAAAGAATAGAATCCCTCAGAAGCAATGTGTCTGGCAGTGATATGGCTGTCCGACCTGGTTTGTTTATGATGGTGCTTATTGTCTTACATATGGCTTCTTTGTCAGTTCTGTATTCATATGGCCACTGCTTCTCAAACCAAAGTGACCATACACACCTCTATTTTTTGCTATTTTCTTATGTGTTGGTCATGTCTCACTTAACAAAGTTTACCCAACACCCATTGGTTTATCCATTAACATGTAACCACTCTAGTTAAGGAGTTTCAGATAACACATATCTAGTTAATTAAAGCAAGCACCTATAAACTTTTATAATTATTCCATACACACACACACACACACACACACACACATGCATATATGTGTGTGTGTGTGTGTGTATGTGTATGGAGATATATATATATATATATATATATACATATATGGAATATATACGGACAGCCCACCTCCATCTAAATTATAATATTGGTTCCATCACCATCCTCCCTGATCAACAAAGAATGCTGATTCCTTCAGTGATTAAAAAAAGGGGGGGGTTTCAACTTAAAATTGGCACTATGCGCAACAAGAGAGGCTAATGAAATGGACCAAGCTTATAGCTCTTTCTTACCTTTGGTTCAAATGCTTAGTCTTCTGGAAAAGCATTAGAAACATGAAGTGTTCAGCATTGCACAAACATTGTACTTGGCCTAACTAGCCAACAGCTGATGCCGCTAAACAAAACATATTGACTTAGAGGTCTCGTTTTGTTCAACGTAACCCACTCCATTCTAAACACATTTCTTTGTGATTCTGCTATTCTGAAAGCAATGGGGCTTAAGGGTATTTAGGATCAAGGTTAGAGGAACCTAGCTATATTAAGTCTCCTTTAATGGGAGCAGTTGGAATTCCATCTCTTTAGTCCTTGAAAAGCATGTTGTGTTAGCCAAGATGGCAGACACCACACATGTGGCATGCAATCTCCCTGGCTTGATGGCAATGCCAAAACCATTTCTCATTCAGTTCCAAAGGCACTTTGGACATCGGGCCAAAGAGGTGATGAATAGCTTCTTTTTTAGCACCCTTCCTACTGCTCTGAATAATCGCTAATCCCAATTCATTACAAATAAAAACCTGCTGTATGAGGCATTGTTCTGTTCTGATTCCCAAAACTGGTCCAGTTTTAATTTTGACGTAAAACCATATGGCAATTGTTGGAGAGCAGATGGGCTTTGGTTTGGGCTTCATTGTCTAGGATCCATCGCACACTTGGTTTTCATACCAGGTTTTCTTGGCTTGCTGCTCTTGCGCTAATCTGCTGAAATCATTTTGCCCACTCAGAAGCTGACATTTCGTTTTGTGCCCTGTCGCATTACAGCAAGGCAAGCTGTCAAGGAGGCAGCTTCGTATCGAACTATTAATTATTTTTTTGCCCATCATATTTCACGTGCCTAATTGTATTTCAGTAAGCAATTCAGCCTGTGTTGAATAAAATCTAAAGCGTTTATTAGTATATAATAGATGCAGAGAGAGCATCCGTCTGACACTACAATCCTAGTACTGAAGGGCTCACAACCCAGTGCCAAAGAAAACATTGCATCAAGCCCATACACACATGCAAATTCCTTTCCAAAAACAACAATTAAGTTGCCACCAAGTGAGTTCTGCAGATAAAATGCAGATATGTTTATTTTTCACAAATGTGTTCAGTATATTTAAAAGTCTATTTAAAACCAAAAGTCTCAGAAGTCTGCTTTCAAACCTACATAATTAACTTCATTGACAGGTGAAATATCCAATATTCAGGCTGGGATGGCCAATGCTTATGTAGTCAAGTCGACAAACCACCCAAGGGAGGGATCAGCAAGCTTGAGGAAAGCTAAAGGTATTCTGCTCTGGTCAGACCTCACCTGGAGTACTGTGTCCAGTTCTGGGCACCACAGTTCAAGAAGGACACTGACAAACTGGAACGTGTCCAGAGGAGGGCAACCAAAATGGTCAAAGGCCTGGAAACGATGCCTTATGAGGAACGGCTAAGGGAGCTGGGCATGTTTAGCCTGGAGAAGAGGAGGTTAAGGGGTGATATGATAGCCATGTTCAAATATATAAAAGGATGTCACATAGAGGAGGGAGAAAGGTTGTTTTCTGCTGCTCCAGAGAAGCGGACACGGAGCAATGGATCCAAACTACAAGAAAGAAGATTCCACCTAAACATTAGGAAGAACTTCCTGACAGTAAGAGCTGTTCGACAGTGGAATTTGCTGCCAAGGAGTGTGGTGGAGTCTCCTTCTTTGGAGGTCTTTAAGCAGAGGCTTGACAACCATATGTCAGGAGTGTTCTGATGGTGTTTCCTGCTTGGCAGGGGGTTGGACTCGATGGCCCTTGTGGTCTCTTCCAACTCTATGATTCTATGATTCTATGATTCTAGGGAGTTAATAAGGTAGAGGGAAAAACCTCCAAAAGCAGACCAATGGTTTGTTATGTTTAAAGAGGACTTGGACCAGGCAGCCATTTGAATAGTGGAGCCCTTTCATTGAGATTGTCTTTATTCAGATAGAAGGCAAAAAAGTAAAACAGGACACATGACAAGGGGAAAATGAAGAATGTTGGAGGCGTACAGGACATGGAATGGTGCATAATGGGAGAGGGAATAGCTGACTGGAACATGAGCATTTTCTTTTGCCACCATCTTTACGACAATGTGTAAGAAGAACCTATTTCTAAACCTGGATTTCCTTTGCTTGATTTGAGTGGCAATTTTCAGTACGTAAATGTAAATGAATGTTTGTGAGGAATGGCACAAAGGTCTCAAGCAATTTCAACATGCTCAGGGGTCTGATCTAAAAATTGTTTGGTTATTTCACTTTGGACCAGCTGCAGAACAGGTTTTGCTGTTCACAAATGCTTTTCTCAATCATTTTCAACTCAATCACTTAATTATCGTGGAGCTATGTGGAATTTGTGTGGCTTCAAACTGGGGTTCAACCCACATTTAACTATGGTGGGATCCTAAGTTCACTTAACACGAACTAATTTTGTTTGGAACAAATGCAAAATCCTAAACAAGGTTAGGATTTGAGAAAATGGCTAATACTCCTCCACTGATATACTGTAGCTGAAGCCAGTGGGACTATTCTTGAATATATAGTGCAAGGATCTACAATGCCTATCAACTGACAGTTAGTCCATATTCACTGGTGCATTCAAAGGGTTCAGATTTGAATTCCAATCTGCTATAAACTCTATTGTGATACTATCAAGAGAAAGATTATCTTTAAGAACCAATGCTACCTGTGGATACTTCAATGGTTTAGCCAACACAGTGGCTTGCACCATAAAGGTTGCCCTACCCTATCACTCTCTCTTTGGTTATACTTGCAGGATTTGAATTCAGGGTTCATATCAAATCAATGTTTGGAACAGGATTATGCTCTATAGCAGAGGTGAGGTGGCTGTGGTCCTTCAAACATTGATGGACTCCAATTCCCACCAGCCCCAACCAGTATGTAATGGACATATGGCAGGCTACATGTTCCCCATTCCAATCTGTAGTTTAAGATTCAAATTGTGAGCCACTTGTCCTTTAATTGCTAGCCTGTGTTCACTTCCAGCAGGATGTCATATATTAATTTTCACTTTCTTTTCCCAGTTTTCCTAAGCAACAGTCTTCTAAATTAGCCAATTTGCTATGATGAATTTGTTAGAAAATTTTATTATGAATAAACCAAAGCTTATGTGCAACACATGATCTCACAAAAGGCATATTGATGAGCACTGAGAGCTTAAAGCTGTCTTTAAAAAAGCAGAAGGGGTAGCAGAATTCACAAATGCAACATTCAAGGCTTATGTTATATAAAAAAAATCAATGTTCGGTGCACTAGTTGCTTGCAAAATTAGACTATTAATTCTGTGTAAACTAACCTATCTGAAAAGCGCACTGTGGGGGATTATGGTAGGATCTGCTGTTGCACTAGGCTGCATTAGGAAGAGAGCACTTTAATGAGTTCCCTGGAGAGTCTGCAATGTCTTGGATCTTTGTCTTGAAAAGAACATTTTTACCCCATTTAACTACCACATCTCCAGCCCAACATGCGGATGACACCAATGAAGGAACTATTACAATATATTATCAGAACCAACAAGCATTGTGCTTCTCGATATCAAAGGGATCAAATGCTATTATTGGCATATCAGAAGCTTCAGACATGCTATGGCCTGATTGGGGGGTGGGGCGCGGAATGGTATCATGCACGGTTCAACAGCCAGGAACACAAAGAAGGGGTTATACAGCAAATAAATTGGAAATCACTGTATACTGTTGTGCAATCTGTTATTTATAGTAATGAAAATGTTCTGATTTTCTTCTGAGACAGGAAATGGTCCCACTGACCATTATTTGGCTGATGACCAAATTTGTTAGATAGGGCCTTCTCTGTGGTACCTCCCCAATTATGAAATGACCCCCTCCGAGAAGTATGCCAAGCACTAACACTTTTCAGATTTGGGTGCCAGTTAAAAAGGTGTCTGTTTGCCCAGGGATTCATGGGACAGTAATCTGCTGCTGCAAAGGTGTGAGCCTTTCTTGAATCCATTTATAACATAAGCCTGTAATATTCCAGGCTAGAAAAAGAGCTTAAAAACATAATTTTAAGAAGCCAAAAATGGGAAAGTGCTAAAAAGCAGGTGGCATCAGACCTAAAGAGAAAACTTATTTATTGTTTTGCATTTTTTTATTCATGAATTTGGATTGTTTGGGGTTTGCAACACTGGCTCCATCTGCACAAGATCAAGTAAAAATGGTAGAGGTCTATGGAATCACCCAGTAGTGTTGTATGGAAGTGAGAGCTGGACCATAAAGAAGGCTGATTGCCAAAGAATTGATGCTTTTGAATTATGGTGTTGGAGGAGACTTTTGAGAGTCCCATGGACTGCAAGAAGATCAAACCTCTCCATTCTTAAGGAAATCAGCCCTGAGTGCTCACTGGAAGGACAGATCGTGAAGCTGAGGCTCCAATACTTTGGCCACCTCATGAGAAGAGAAGACTCCCTGGAAAAGACCCTGATGTTGGGAAAGATGGAGGGCACAAGGAGAAGGGGACGACAGAGGACAAGGTGGTTGGACAGTGTTCTCGAAGCTACCAGCATGAGTTTGACCAAACTGTGGGAGGCAGTGGAAGACAGGAGTGTCTGGCGTGCTCTGGTCCATGGGTCACGAAGAGTCGGACACGACTAAACAACAAAATGGAATAAAACCTTCAAAAACTGTCTCAGGCAACATATTTTTATAAATCTTGTGCCTCCATCTAGATAATAAATATATGCAATGACAATAAGAAACTAACAGAACAATCAAATACATTGTCTACACACAATACTAAGTCCCATTACTCTCAACTCATTGAATAGAGGACAG